AAAGAGAGAATCCTACCCAACCATCTGAAACAAGAACAACCTAATAAAAAGCAGTTGAGTTCCCTTACCTTCGTGCGATGTTCTGACTTCTAAATTTCTGGTTAAGGCTAATCTCCTATTCGTCTTTGTTTTGCAGGTTACAGTGAGTTTCAGTGGAGGCGCGGCGGTAACGGTGACAGCGGCGGTGATGACGGTTGGCTATGCGATTCGTGTTTAAGAAAGTGAAACCCTAATCGCTCCGTCTTTGGAAAACCCCTTTGTTCTTCCTTCTTGGTCGCGTCCTCTCTCTCTGTAAAAACCCTCGTTTATGTATCCCTTGTTTCGATATCCCAAAAAATTCCCCCCATCTCTTTTAAATTTCTGTTATTTATAGAGTTTGTTCTTAGGGCTTTGAAAGAATTAAATTTAGGCAGAAATTAAGGAGATTATATTAAGAATTAGGTTTTTAGAGATTTTTGTAATTGATTGAGATTGATTTAGGGAATTTCTGGATTTGATTTGTAATGGATGATTTTGATTTCTCTTAGATTTGTTTTTTTTTTCATAATAAGATTTATTTGGTTTTTAAATCTGAACAGTGAATGTTAGTTGGTGAAAGCCAACATTTTTTTCTGCTTGATTACTACAATATCAGTTCGTAGCTTTTTTCTGGATTTGGATTTATTGATTGTTAATATATTTCTGCTATAATTTCTGGGCTTGGACTTTGTTGCAATTTTTAGAGAAAGATTAGATTTTGTTTTAATCTCTACAATGATTGATGATGATACAAAAATGTTCACAAGTCTTCCTTTTTGAAACAATAACTGCTCTTCTTTGTTCCTTTGGGCCCTGCATTATTATGGGCCTGCGTTATTTTTGCTTACTATTCAGCAATGTTTTTTTATTTACAGCAAAAACAATTTCTAAAACTAAGCCCAATTTTTAATAACTATGATTAGTAACATTTTTTTTACTAATAAATATGTAATATACAAATAACAGAAATATATATATATATATATATATATATATATATATATATATATATATATATATATATATATATATATATATATATATATATATATATATATATATATATATATATATATATATATATATATATATATATATATATATATATATATATATATATATATATATATATATATATATATATATATATATATATATATATATATGTATATATATATATAAATATATATATCCAAACAAATCTATTAATAATAGGTTATGTTTTTTTCAAAAACAACAACAATTTTCTTTTTTGTTTATAATAACACTTAAAACAAATCTTTTTAATAAATACTTTATAAAAAATACTTAATGAAATACTTAAAATAAAAATATCCAATAATAACAAGTAACAAAAAACAAAATAAAAATGATTTTCTCAAAAACACCAAATGGGCTAAAAAACTCAGTGGGCCTATAGTTTGTAACAGATTCAAAATTTTAAATATTATTTAGTTTACCCCCTTTTTGTAAAAAATGAAAAAGAATTCTTTTAACAAGTTGTGCATAAGAATTTTCTTATAAAAATAATAATAACAGCAAACATTTTATAATAATTTTTCTAAGATAAATCAGCAACCAAAATGACAAATGAACTGACTTTAAAAATGCCAATGGGCCATACGAATTCTACCACTCACTCCATTTTTCTTTACTAATAACAAAAACATTTAAGTGATCTTTTATAATTAAAAACTTAACAATTTTTCATTTTTGAATCGCATGGGCCATAGGCTAACATGCCCTACGAATAGGTTTACGGATACACGAGTCTTTCTGATTAAAAAAAGCCCCGCTTTCCTGAATTAAAAATACACCCCACCTAGTCTTAGATAAAGATGGGACATATGATATTGTTGTACTATCTTTAAATACATATTTATTCTTTTTAAATCTTGAAAAATAAAATCATCGAGGTAGGACAAATTTGGGGTACGACAATATCGTGGTCCATCGTCTGCCGACAAAAGAAGACTGTTCTTCAGTGAAATAGAAGGTTCGTCGTATGCGGCCAGAAATGTCAGAAAAATCAAGGTTGAAGTCATGAAGCAGTTCAATATCGTATTCTTAGTTGTCACCTCTTATCCATACAGGGTTGCCAATGTTGTTCCGGTTCCTAAGAAGGATGGTAAGGTACGTATGTGTCTGGATTACAGAGACCTGAATAGGGCAAGCCCCAAGGATGACTTTCCGCTTCCCCATTTTGATATTCTGGTTGACAACACCGCACATCATAAAGTATTCTCCTTCATGGATGGTTTCTCCATATACAATCAGATCAAAATGGCACCTGAGGACATGGAGAAAATGACCTTCGTCACACAGTGTGGCACTTTATGTTACAAAGTTATGCCATTTGGGCTAAAGAATGCCAGGGAAACCAATCAGCGTGCCATGGTAGCTTTGTTACACAATATGATCCATCACGAGATAGAGGTCTACGTGGATGATATGATAGCCAGATCTCAAACTGAAGAGGAACACCTTGACCACCTGCAGAAGCTATTTGAAAGACTGAAGAAATACAAACTAAGGTTGAACCCGAATAAATGCACTTTCAGAGTAAGGTCCGGTAATCTCTTAGGCTTCATTGTCAGCAGTAAAGGTATTGAAGTAGACCCTGCAAAGGTAAAAGTAATACAAGAAATTCCCGCTCCTCGCACTGAGAAGGAAGTTAGGGGATTCTTTGGATGTCTAAACTACATCGCGAGATTCATTTCCCATCTAACCGCTACTTGTGAACCAATCTTCAAATTAATGAAGAAGGATCAAGTGGTGAAATGGAATGACGACTGCCAGACTGCCTTTGACAGGATCAAGGAGTACCTTTAAGAGCCTCCCATTTTGATGTCGCCAGTTGAGGGAAGACCTCTGATCATGTACCTAACAGTTTTGGAAAATTCAATGGGGTGTGTGTTGGGGCAGCATGACGAGTCTGGCCGAAAAGAGCATGCAATATACTACCTGAGCAAAATAGTTTACCGACTGTGAAACCAGATATTCACTGCTCGAGAAAACTTGCTGCGCTCTTGCGTGGACTGCTCTCCGGCTAAGACAGTATATGCTGACTCACACTACCTTCTTGATATCCAAGATGGATCCTATTAAATACATATTCGAGAAGCCCGCCCTCTTTGGAAGAATAACAAGATGGCAAATGGTCGTGACCGAATAGGACATTCAGTACACTACCCAAAAATAAATAAAAGGAAGTGTACTAGTTGATCATTTGGCTCATCAGGCTGTGGATGACTATCAATCCATGAACTTCGAATTCTCGGACGAAGACATCATGTTAGTGAATGATTGTGAAGAACTAAGACCGTATGACGGACCTGAACAAGGATCCCGATGGACCATGGTTTTTGACGGAGCTTCTAACGCACTCGGTGTAATACCCCAAATTTGTCCTACCCTTTTACTTTTATTTGGCTTATGCATTGTCGCGCTTTTCTCATGTACATAACTCCATTAGGTCATTTAACATTGCATACATTCACTAACAACATAACTTGGCAAGGGGTCGAGAACCTTGAGGAATTAGGGTTTCTATATGTTTTTAAGCTCTTATCTTCACTCAGGTTTAAATCAACTGGTTTGTTCTTTGATTATGGTTTGTGAAGCTAGGGTTCTATGTTCATATTCATTGGTAACTTTTTCTTTCATCAAACTTCTTCATCAAGATGCCTCAAAAGAAAATGGATTAGGTTTATGATAATGAAATGGTTTCTTACAACGCTTTGAAGGAGGATATTGTGATCTAGGGTTATGTAACAAAAAGTACTTTAATTAATCAGGGATAAAGATTTACTTATGTATGCCAAGTGGTTATCATAAAGATCTTAAGGGTTTGGTTTCATGGCTTTCATACAACGCATTTCTCATATCTAGGGTTTCTTTTGTTTATCATCATCAAAGTTTGGTTCACTTGGTTATTTGCATCGCAAGACAACATTGTGGATTTGATGCAAGGGTTGAAATTCATTTGTTGTCTTATGAATTATTTCGAGTTTGAAGGTAGTTTAAAGGCATTGGTAATTTCAAAGTCCATTTTGAACTCTTAGGCTTTTCATATGCGACTTGTTCCAAAGGTGCAAGGATGAATATGTTCTCATTTGGTTAGAGAGTCAACTCTTGAAGAATGACTTTTATAGGCCAAGTCATATGGACTTTTGTACGATTAATTTGCCATTACCGTAATTCTAGGCATTCGTTCAGATTTTTATTTTGCATTTGGAAGTATTTAAGCATGAAGAACATTGAAGTGCAAAAGGAAGGAAACGAAATTACAAATATCCTTTGAAGGAAAAATAGCATTACTATATTTCATGATCAATGCCATTACACATTTCCATCTCCTTTACATATAAATTACCAAAATTTACAAATCATACATCAGAAGCTACCCATAAATACTATCCTAAGCTTATGATTGTTCATCTTTAATCTTCATGTTGTTCTCAACCCTTGCCCACTTCTCAAGTTTCTAGCAATGCACATGCCTTTGACGTCCTATTCTTTATCCCTTCGATAATACCTCAAAATCTGACCCAATTTTTATTCAAACGAATGGGCAGCCCTACATTTTGTTCAAGAAACCAGTTCATCAAACCAGTCCATAGAAATTTGTTACAAAAAAGTCTGCATGTAATCATTCATCCAAAGGAACAAGAGAAACCAGTTCACATCAATTTTCAAAACTAATTCCCATACCAAAATAAAATGGGACTGCCTTGCATCAGAGGATAATAAAACGGATTGATAACAAATAACAACTCGTCTAATAGAAAAACGAACTACAAAAATATTAAAGCAAAGTTAGCTCTGAATCTAACCACTGAATCTATAACAGAAAATCAAGGATCAAGGGCTCTGATTGAATCCAGCTCTAACTTCTACTCTAACAAACTCTAACAGAATATAACAGAAAATTACCTTGCAATTGAATCATTCTTCAATCTGCTGAAGAATCACCAAAAAATATGGGAAAAACTCTCTCTTCAACCATTTCGGAATCTTCATCCATAATCGCACAACACTTCTTATTTCATCTTCAAGAATCTTCATCATCTGAAAGTCTTCTTCACCCTTACCTTCATATATTTCTATCAATCTCTCTTCTTCGTCCATCACCTTCATCAACATTCCTTCTCTGCAACAACCGCAACAAATCCTTCATCCCTCTCGGCAATAAACTTCTACAATCTTCAACACAACAACAAACGCACATCATCAATCAATTTCTCTTCAATGCAGTAACTCTGCAACGACAACAATTTCAATCTCCACGCATCATCTTCGGAACAATAGAACGTACCATATTACTGTTCGTGCACAGATTCAGAAAAAACGCAAAATATGAAGGAGTAGAAAGAGAAAAGATCAGGAAAAAAGAGGAGCAAGAATGTACCCAAGGTCAATACACTGAATCTGCCTTCTTCGCCACGCCGAAATCCTCAGGTCTTCAAATCAAGTTTGTTTCTCTATTTAATCATATACGCTTTGAGCTACAATTCCCTTTTGAAGCTCGAATCCACGAGTTCTTCAGACCTTGGACGTCGCGCTTGCTCTCCTATTTGGCCGTTCGCTTGTTCTCCATGAGAGACTAGTGATATATTCAGATTCAGGAAGGGATTTTAGGTCGGGTTCATGTTTAGGAAGGAGTCGAATGGAGGAGGCGATGACACCATTAGTCCGCTAGAAATCGCAGAGAGAAAGGAAACGCGTTTGGAAGTCGAAGCTAAACGGTCACTCTATTAACCTAATATGAGACGCAATGTTTCCTCCATGGTTCAATTCGTATTTTTATTTTTATTTTACTTTGGATAATAATTAAGTGATGCTGAAAAGTAGATTTGGGTAGAAGATGTTTATTGCGGGACCAAGTTATGCTTCCTTAGGCCCATTGTTTTTTTGGTAGCTTCAAACAAAAGCAGCATTGGGCTTATCCTGACTCTGGGCTTAGCGCTTTACTTCAGCACACCTCCTGAATTCAGCCTTGCACCTCCAGAAGATTCATTTTCTATACTTATTTCAGTTCCATCTTTTATACAATTGTTATGATTGATTTTTAATTGATTATATGATAATTTTGTGGGATCTTGATAAATAAAAGGAACTTGAATGAGGAGTTTCAAGAGGTTTTGAAATGAAGTTAGAGGCCTAATCTTCATCAAGGGAATTCGAGGAAGCTCTTAGTAGAATTTTCTTATTGCTTGCGGGATTTTGAAGAGGCAATGGACCTTCTCCGTTCAGTATCATCACAACTTCATTTTATTCCTCATTTCCGCAATTTATCCTACTACTTTACCACTTTTATAGATACCATGAGAAGTACGAAATAAAGAGCGTGCGCTCGAAGTCGTTGTTTAAAGACCTTTAGCAGGCATTCCACACTTCATTTTCTATATGTGTTGTGCTTATGTTTGTTTACTTTCTTGTTGATTGATGAGTCACTTAATTTAGGAATTAAGATCACGACTTCGCTCTCAGTGCATGCTCCCTATAGGATTTTATCGCTTTCCTTTATATCTTGTTTATCGATGAGTCACTCAATTTAGAAATTGGGATAACGACTTCGCTCTCATTGCATGCTCCCTATAGGATAGTTTTATTAGACTTTCCTTGGCATGCTAACCTAGATAGGATCTCTCTAGGTGTGCTCTCTTGAGCTTATTGGTTTGCTTGCTTTGTCCTTGTACATACCATGTTCCCTTAGGATGCGCTTTCTCCGTTCGGACGCAAGTTAGACCTTAGGTTGTAAACCATGCATGCTAACAGTAGGTAGAAACTTCCCCTTCATCCTTGACATAGGACTACCATTGTATGATAACATTAGGTTTAGAAATAGGATAGTCTCCCTTAGACTCTTTTCTTCCCTTTTTGCATCCTTGCATTCAAAACAAAAACTCATTTTCTTAGAAAAACAAAAACATGCTAACAACACTTAAACCCTTTTTTCAAGGTAATAAAACACAAACCAATTCAAATCATTTTGTGCGCTCGAGAACCTTTTCTCTAAAGCCCTTTTTAGGTAAGGACATGATTAAATTACTTCTGTGCCAACGCATAAGTCTCCAAAGGTCGAGCTGCGGAAGAAGGCGGAATTTACTTTGTCCATAAAAAAAACAAACAAACAAAAACATAAGAGCCGAACTACGGTAGCTCTGATTCCTCAAAACGGATACATAGGCATTGAGGTAGGGCCCAAGCAAGCACAATTTTATTTTCCCTACATTCTTCTTCCCTTCCTTTTGCATGCATTCTCCCTTCAGTAGTATAGTAAACAATAAGCATAGATTAAACACACCCATAAGATAAACAACAAGAGTGGATACCGTAGAGTACTACGAGCATGTGGGGTGCTAATACCTTCCCCTCACGTAACATACTCCCTTACCCGATCTCTCGGTTGCAAGACTGTGACTTCTCCCTTCTCAGGTTTTCTCGATGTTTACCTTTCCCTACATGTGGGATAAAAGACGTTCGATGGAGACTTCATTGTTTGATGATTTTCATCTGGTTATTTCACTCGGCAATGGCATCGATGATGTGATCATATCTCCTGAAGGTTGTCATACTCCCTTCACTTCCAGGTCGTGTTTCAATTGTACCAATAATATGGATGAATATGAAGCGTGCATTATGGGTCTCAAAGCTGCCATAGATTTGGGGATCAAATCCTTAAGCGTATTTGGAGACTCAGCCTTAGTAATCAGTCAGATCAAAGGAGAATGGGACATGAAGCATCCTAATATCATCCCTTACAAAGAGCATGTGTTGACACTGATACCACATTTTGAGGAAATTACATTTGAGAATTTTCCACGAGAGGAAAATCAACTAGCAGACGCGCTAGCTACTATGTCATCCATGTTCAAAATCAGATGGGATAATGAAGCCCCTCAAATCACTATTGAGAGGATGAATGAACCAGCATACTGTCATGAGGTTGATACTGAAGAAGTAGCAGGAAAACCTTGGTTCCATGAAGTTAAAAGATATCTCAAGGCCCAAGAATATCCTGAGGGAGCTTTAGTCAATGATAAGAAGTTCCTAAGAAGGTTCTCTACTAAATTCTTCCCCAGCAACAGAATCCTCTATAAGTGTAACCCAGACTCTACTTTGCTTCGTTGCATAGACAAGAGCGGGGCAAAAAAGATCATGGCTGATTTACACGAATGTACCTTTGGCACCCATTCTAGTGGGCACACGATGGCTAAAAATATCCTATGGGCGGGATACTATTGGTCCACTATGGAAACAAATTGTTATCAGCATTCACGAACTTGTCACAAATGCCAGATCTATGCTGATAAAGCACATGTCCCACCGGTTCCTCTAAACGTCTTGACCGCTCCCTGGCCATTTGCAATGTCGGGCATTGACATGATTGGGGAGATCAGACCTACAGCTTCAAATGGACACCCTTTCATCCTCGTCGCCATTGATTACTTCACAAAATGGGTCGAGGCAGCTTCATTTGCTTCTGTTACCAAGAACTTTATGGCCAGATTCATCAGACATAATCTTATCTGTCGATATGGTATTCCGGAAAGAGTCATTAAAGATAATGGTACCAATCTCAACAATACTATGATCACCGAACTATGCGCGCAATTCAAAATCCAGCATCATAACTCTTCTCCTTACCGGCCAAAGATGAATGGCGTTATAAAAGCCGCTAATAAAAACATCAAAAAGATCATACAGAAGATGACAATGACCTATAAAGACTGGCATGAGATGTTACCATTTCCTCTCCACGTTTACCGTACCACGGTGCACACATCAACATGGGAAACTCCTTTCTCTTTGGTATATGGTATGGAAGTTGTCCTACCAATTTAAGTTCGAATACCTTCTTTGAGAATCATGAAGGATGTAGGGTTGAATGAAGATGAATGGATTCAAACTCGACTTGACCAATTGAACATGATTGATGCAAAGAGGCTTACGGCTGTCTGCCATGGTCAGATGTACCAAAAACGTATGATTAAAGCTTTTAACAAGAAGGTCAGGAGTTAGGTATATTAGGTTGATGACCTCGTAATCAAGTGTATCATACTGCCACAAGGTGATCCCAGGGGAAAATGGACTCCTACATACGAAGGACCATTTGTGATCAAAAACATATTTTCTGGTGGGGCCATGATCTTAACCAATATGGACGACGACGACCTTCCGCACCCTATAAATGCGGACATAGTTAAAAGATACTACGCATGAAAAAGACCCACTAGGTTGAATGGCCTAGGCAAAAATTAGGGATATACACACAAAAAAATATGTACACTCGGCAAGCCGAAAACCTAAAAAGGCGGCTTGGGCAAAAAAGGGTATCCCGGTGGACTGAAAACCCGAAAGAGAGGTCTAGGAAAAAGTTAGGGATTTAAAGCGTATGACTATGTCCCGTTGTATTACCTTACGGCCAACATTCAGTATCAATTGTCAAACTCAAACGGTATTAATCAATTCAATCAGCTTCGGACAAAGCAACAAGTGGATAAGACGCTCAAAGACATAAAGGCTATAGCAGAATGGGAACCCCGTGGGATTATTTTACATAGCTGTCTTTCTTTGTATTAGTTTCCGTTATTATGATGACATTCTCTAACTAGGATGTTCGTCTCGTCTCTTTGTACAAAAACACTTATTCAAGTTAATACAAAGCTATTCCTTTAAAAGTGCAAAACTATATGTTTTTACTTTCCCGTTTTGTTTGCAAAAACGTCCAGTGGTTATTTTTGAACATATGCATTTGAACGCAATTACTATTTACAAATATACGCATAAAAAAGGGAAAATAAAATAGAAAGACAGTTACTAATGGCTTTAAGAAAAAGGACAATGTCTGAAGGCTATTCCATAAAATCCCCGAAGGTACTTTCTCCAGCAGGAGCAGAGGCAGAGACATCCTGATACAAGGTCACTATCATATCTCCAGTATGTAGCCTAATGGTATCAGGTACTCTCATATCCCCAGCAGAGCAAAATTTCCAATTACTGCTCCAAAGATTCCCCGGTGAAGTCGCCAAGCTTCTCAGGAATCCCCAAACAATGCACGGAGTTGCCCTTCCCCAACAAAGTTGATTTATCTAATAATGGAAATTTTTCCTTCAGCATTTCTACTTCAAACATAAGCTGAAGACCTACATCCTTCACCCCCAGCTGCAATCAGGGATTTATTTTCCCTAACTCAATAACATTGTAGTAGAATGACTGACACATTCATACATTGCAATCATACACCATTTTATAGGTATCATAGCATATGCAACATGAAGGCATATGTCACAATCTCATTTATTTTGAGAGCATAATTTTCACTTCATGCATCACAATATTGCATGCAGCTAATTCTTTACCTTTTTAGGAAGGATCGACAGATGAATGTCGACAACAACTTCAAAAAAGTTCTAGATTAATACCTGAAACAAGACAGGAAAACTATCTGTGAGCGAATGATTATAGATTAATACCTGAAACCAGACAGGACAACTATCTACATGAGTAGATTGAAGATTAATACCTGTAACAGGCCAGGGTAACTATCTTTCTTTATCAAATAGGTTAGAGATTAATACCTGAAACTAGACAGGACAATTATCTCAACGGCCTAAAAAACAAGTTCCATATTAATACCTGAAACTAGAGAGGAAAACTATTTGTGAGCGACTGATTATAGATTAATACCTGAAACCAGATAGGACAACTATCTACATGAACTGAGTGAAGATTAACTCCCTAAAAAATCCTGG